CGATGGAAGTGGCTCATCCAAACGAGTTAATTATTTAAGTGGTACTACTACCCAACGTGGCAGGTGCATCTGGCTGATTGATTAGCTCACGCATTTGTGAGAAGTGCTGAAAACAAAAAAGCTGCAGTTGAGCAATAAATTGCAGGTCACAAAGTCCTTCATCAGCTTCTCTGAGATCAATGGATGCCATTTAATGGCTTTGGTGTACAGTCTGAAAATGCCAAACGAACATGTAGGTTCCTGCTATTAGCATGCTAACTGCCAATGCGTATGAGCCAGATGTATGCAGTTTATGTTGGCCTGAACTTTGTGGAACTTCTGCAACAGAAAATACTGTGAGGTTCTGAAAAATGGATTCAAATGGAAAATGCTTTCCTGTGATTTGAGTCCTGCATACAGGATTGATTGTATAACCTTCATAAGCCAGGTGGATAAAATGCAAATATTCAAGCAGCATTTTTTAGATACATAAAAAAAGTGTTTTTATTTTTAAAAAGTCTAAAATTTATGGTTTCTGGATGATTTAATGCAGAAACAGGAATTGAATTCAGACAACTTGCCAGATTTGCCATCCTATATATGATATGACAGTATTTGCCAACCTTGGCAACTTTTAGATAGGTGGACTTCAATTCCTAGAATTTGCTAAAGTAGGAAAAAACACTGTGAAAGGACAATCTTAGGTTCCCACTCTCTTGTTGCATATTCTGTCACTTCTGAGAATTGTTCATGCTGGCTAGGAGTGATGGGAGTTTGCTTGCAACATTTGGAGAGCCATATTTTTTAATGTGATTTACAGGAAGATTTTTAAAATTGTAGGGGAGCATTTAAGTGGTAGCACAGCTCTATAATACGAAGTTGTATCCTCCATTTTACTATCTTACATTGAAGAAAACAATAGCATATAAGGGTAATGCTATGTGACTGTAGGTTTAGGAATTCAAAGTTTAAAGTGTATGTATTTGCACGCATACCTGGGTGTTTGATTTGTATCCCACCTTTCAAGAGGTGTGTTTGCACTAATTTTTGAAACATAGAAATCTAAACACTGAATAGTTTGGGAATCATACAAGAGAAAACTCAAATAGGTTAATAATAGTAAAGCTAGCCCCTAAAATATTTGGACACTAAGCCAGGAATCCCCAACCTTTTCGACGCCGCGGCCCGGTTCCGGCATCAGCTGGGCGCCGTGGCCCGGTTCCGGCGTCAGCTGGGCGCCGCCATCTTTTTTTGACGAAAAATCACTTCCGGTGATGTCACCGGAAGTGATTTTTCGTCAAAAAAAATGGCGACGCCAGTGCTTCTGGTGAGCTTTTTCGGGTAGAAATGGCTTTCTACCCGGAAAAGCTCACCCGAAGCGCTGGCGCCGCCATCTTTTTTGACGAAAAATTGCTTTTTTTACCAAAAAAAGATGGCGGCGCCCAGCAACCAGCGGCCCGGTAAGGCTTGTTCCGCGGCCCGGTACCGGTCCGCGGACCGGCGGTTGGGGACCCCTGCACTAAGCTCTTTAGGGCTTCAAAAATTAACAGAAACACCTTATTTTCCGACTAGAAAAATGGTTGGTAACTGATACTTTCAACACATGCATCAGATGCTCTCAGCAGTTTATCGATTAGGGCTCTGTGAAGTTGAATCCTGGACATTTGTTTGAAGGAACCCTACTTGGATACATTAATCTTCAAGGTCATGTTGAAGTAAAGCAAGACATGGAAACATGCTCCCAGTTTTGACTAGTAAAGGAATAGACCCACTAAATGCTACTGTGTAGATGTTCTTCTTGTCAGAGCCACAACATGAGATTCCTATGTTCCTCAAGAAACAGGAAATGTACTCAGACTGAAGAACTGATCTTTGGGGTAATCTTGCAACTCCATCCAAGACAGGGTGAATCCCAGTTTCTGAGTCCAATTTTTTGGTAGCACCTCAGTGTTGTATAGATTTAATTTCAGTTAGTTCTCAATCATTCAGCTCATAATTTTGTTCAGATAATATTGAAAAGTACTATCAGTTACCTTGGAGTTGGATAATAAGGCCACATTTTGAAAAACAAAATATGATCTCTTCCGTGTGAGCACAATAGTGGCAGAGAAATATCATTCTTCATTACCATGGAGTGGGGATCCTAATGAGTCAGTTTGATTTATCTAGAGATTGCCTCCAGTGAACTTAAACTGTTGTCCCAGATGCTACATTGCTCCCTGCTCTTTAATAAATCTAAGGGGCTGATTTGGCTTTGCAAAAGGAAGAGGATACTTAGGAATTACAGCATCATTGCCCAGACTGGCTGAATTCCAGAATTCATCCTAGGTTTGGACAGGCCACAATAGCATTCCTCAAACCATATGGTAAATTGATTCTACACAGAGTGGCCTGAATAAATGGAATCCATTCTTCACTTTTCCTAAACATCTCTACATATATACAAAGGCACGTGCAAAAAGACTGCATCATTATAATTCCACTAAAGTTCCCAAGGAAACTGAGTCAGTAAATTATTTCTGATTAGCTGGTTATAACTGAGGAGATCCAGAGAACTGCTTGATTGAAAAAAAATAGTTTGCCTTTCTCCATATGCTATGAAGCAGAGGATAATGTTCAAAAAGTAAGGAGGGCCTGCCTGATAACATACATACAGGAGGCTCAGATAATTTCTCTCCAACCATCCTTTATGCAATGAACCCCGACAGTGTACTAAAAGCCAAATAAAATCTTGTTCAACCAGGATTATTAATTTCACTTGGCATTTGTGAATGTGAAGTTGTCTTACGCTTCCTCTTTCTGCATACAATTCTTTTTATAGTCTGGAGTTTCTCTTTAAAAACTTTTTCATATACAAATTTGATTGGTTGCACAACTACCTGCTATGTTTTAGGAATGACACACAAAAAAAATCACATTCTGTATTTTTAGGCTTTAGGCAGGAAGTTGTGTTTTTTGTAAGAATGGCACCTCCTCTCCTCTCCTCACATAATGTTCTTCGAGTACTTTTCAGTTTCTACACAGCAAAAACTCAAATTCCAGCTCTTCAACAATACTTTTTCAGTAGCTGCATCTTACCTGTATACTTCAGACAATGGCAGCCAAAAGAAAATCGACTAAATATTTGCCATTGTCTGCAGAATGTGTAGCCAAATGCCAACCTTAGTTAGAAGGATTTTTTTTAAAGAAATGTAACCAGTTGATGGTATGACAGGTAAGGGAGGGGGAGAAAAGGACTCTATGGAATAAATAGACCATTGTGCATGGCAACTGGGGAAGACTTTTTATATGTTTGATGACATTGGGGAGGGCCAAAATTTCAGCTGAAGGAACTATGACTTTGTTATGCATTCTCCCCATCAAAATATGACTGCAATATCTGATTTAAACTTGAAAAAAGAGGAAGGAAGTATGAGTTTTAATTACTATTATATTCTTCCAGGGTGCAGTTTGCTAATAGCCTTAACACCCCTTTCCATTGTGAACAGCCCCATAGAAGGCAACCCCTTCCATCCCCATAGTGTTAACTCTTCCCTTTGGAAAAATAATGCTTTATATAGTTATTTGCATCTTTCATTTTCTTCTTTTTCCTACTTTAGACTTTTCTCCTGAGGCTGAAATCATTTGGAAAATTGACAGAAATATTTTTAGCTGATTTTAAAATGGGCATTCCATAATTTGGCCTTAGTTGCTTCTATACAGTATTCGGTTACTTTAACTGCTGATATGTCCAATGATGGAAAGGTACTGCTTGGGGAGCTCTGATATAGTTTTATTCAGAAACAACGTGTGCCTAATGAACAATAATTTCAGCTGGAAACATGTTGGGATTTCCTTTAATGAATTTATAATGTGTAATTACTTCAGGAATCCATTCTGAGTCTCCCTGTCTCAGAGTTTGCTCATAATTATAGTTTGATTAGACTTTGCTCTCAAAGGACGAAAAAGCAAAATCTTTTTTAATAACAGACATTGCAATGTATTTGCATCAACATTCCCACACCCTTTAGTTTTTTTTATTTATGTATAAATACATGTCAATACCACAAGATGGCACTTTCGTACTTGCAACATTTACTACTACATATACATATCTTCTTCAAGATGTTCCAAATGTAGACTTGTAAACTTTTTTAAAAAGCAAGATCTTGTACAAACAGCTTGTTTGTGTGTTTCTGTGTGTGTAATAAATAAAGTCAGAGAACTTTTTTTAAAAAAAGAATCATAAATAATTGCAGGTAATAAAATTTAAATTACAAAATCAGAATGTATATTAACTGACTGAATTAAAGTTTTCAATATTTAAAATACACCTAAATGGCTTAATGCCAATTAGTCATTAATACATTTGTCCAACAAGGAAGAAAGAAAAACCTTCTCATGAATAAAAAAAATGGCCTGGATTATACGCTGCAAAATTTCTGGTTCATTGTTATCTCCTTTGGCAGAAGGAAAATCAGATTATTTTGTGATCTAAGAAACTGAGTCAGTCTGGAAATCAAAGAACTCTGGATCTTTCAATAGTTTCAAATGTAACTCAAATATAAACTCTAGAAAACCCATGGTTGAAAGTGGTGAAGAAGAAAGAAACTGCACTAATATAGTGCATAATGACATAGCGTCCAGTTTGTCCTTTACAGTAAATGTAATTTTATCTCCCCCCGCACAGGATTGTCATGCTTTCAAAAATAAAAGATAAAAAAAAAGAAGTAGAAGACTGTAGAACTTCTCATTTGTCCTTATTCCTATGGTTAAAAAGGAAGAGATGTAATTCTTGAGGTCCCCTCTGGGGAAGAGTCATAAAGAGTCATACCATGTTTCAGATATGCTAAAAGGTAAAACTGGTCAAGTTTGGAAGTTATATTCTGCCCAATTATATCAGATGCCAGATTCTCCCAAAGAACAAAAATAAAACCCAAACTCATCAGCTGGAATCTTGTATCAAAAGAGGCGGGGGTGGGTGGTGGGTGGGGACAGCGGTTAAGGCAGTCAATGTCTACATTTGGGTGGTGGTTTCCATCTTACATATCAACATCTCCATCGTAGGCTAAAGTCAGACACTTCTGCGGCGGAGGAGTATGTTGTGGCTGTTTTGGGTTTTTGCTGAAAAGGAAGAAAAACATTCATTTGTTTAAGGAAACCAAACAGGTGAACTGAATCCTTCATTTGGGGCACAATCAAGGGAAAGTTAAACCCCATCTTAAATCCAGGCAAAGTTAAACCCCAAAGTTAAAGGGTTTCCCTTTTCAAAACTGGGAGGTTAAACTGAAGTTATTTTAACTTCCGTCTCCACACACATAGGCCATAGGTAGAAAAAGCAGAAACCATAGAATTGTGGGCTATTTGAGAAATGCATACAGGTAGTCTTTGACTTATAACCATTCAGTCACAGTCTGAAGTTATAATGGTACTGGAAAAAAAATACTTAGGACTGTTTTTCACACTTATGACTGTTGCAGACATGAAACAAACAAAATGTTAAAAAGTTACGACATTTATGTAAGTTACTTACCAAGCACATTACATTATATTAAAGCAACCTAAATATCTTTACAATCTCCAAAGCGTGTCACAACTTTTGAGCACCCCTGAGGTTTGGAAATTGAAAGTTGAAAAAAGAAAATCTGACATTGGTCATGTGATCAAAATTCAGGTGCTTGGCAACTGAACTCATATTGATGATGGTTGCAGTCCGTGGTGGGATTCAATTTTTTTTTTTACTACCGGTTCTGTGGGTGTGGCTTGGTGGGCGTGGCTTGGTGAGAATGGCAGGGGAAGGATATTGTAAAATCCCCATTCCCTCCCCACCCCGCTAACCTGCTTTCCAGCTCTGTTCTCCTGTGCAGGGCAACAAAAGAAGACCCAGCCAATCAGCTGGGACTCGGGAGGCAGAGAATAGATGGGGGAAGGGCCAGTCAGAGGTGGTATTTGCCGGTTCTCCAAACTACTAAAAGTTTCTGCTACTGGTTCTCCAGAACCGGTCAGAACCTGCTGAATTGGTTGCAGTGTTCTAGGATCTTCTGATCACCTTTTGCGAACTTCTGTCAACCCAAGTCAATGGGGAATCCAGATTCACTTAACAATCATCTTACTAACTTAACAACTGAGGCAAGGAAGGTAGCAAAGTAGGACAAAACTGTCTTGCTTAGCAACAGGAGTTTTGGGGTCAATTGTGGTCGAGGCCTACTGGCATACTTCCTTTCTTTCTGCAGCCCTTGACCATACTTGTGTATATTCAATGACAAATCCCTAAAAATGACATGCTTTCCCACCATTTTTTGGTGACATAGAACAGCAATAAAACGTCATTAGCCTTTGCATAGTCTAAAAGCCCCTTAAAACAGCATCTCTTCCTGAACCACCATTAAAAAAAAATACCCTCAGAAAAATGAACCCTATCCACTAAAGTAAAATCAGAAAACAGGTGGAGGAAAATGTGTTGGAAATCTTCGCTGCCTTGAGTTATTTATAAAAACAATAAAGATGGGAAATGAATAAATAAACTGCTGAAGGATGAATTCAGTAACGTGGTTGCAATCTTAAAAAAAAAAAAAAGACCTGTATGCGTGTTTGAGAATATTTTTAAAATTAAATCAAGTTTTAAAATATAAATTAAAATAAGCAAAGTTTTAATTATACAATAGTGAAAATAACTAATAATAATATTTTATTACTATTTGTCCAGAGTCACTTAGACATTGAGATGGGTGGTGTATAAATTTGATAAATAAATAAATGTTGCTCCACATTATGTTGGTATTTGTGATAATAAAATACAAAATATCCAATTCTCTAGTTTACTTCCACAAGCCCATTAGCCCAGAGCCATTTCATAATAGTTCCTACAAAAGAAGAGACAAACTACTGCTAAAATTAAAAACTTTTTATCAGTTAAGAACCAATATGCTGATACCATTGAATAAAACTATCTGCGCACCTTATCCTCTCTTGGGCATGAATGAATATGAATACATCTATCTGTCTATATGTATGTATATACTGCCATGGTGGCATAGAGGTGAAGACGCTTGCCTCCCACTTGGAAGGTTGAGAGTTCAATCCTAGGGAGTGGATGTTTCTCTAACAGGGCGCAAAGAGAAAATATCTGCTGCAAATTCCACATAGGCATCAAGAAGGGGATCTGAACAGAAAATACTCCATTCCATTAAGTCACCCTGGCTCCACCCCAAATAAAGGGTTGTAAAAAGAATATACGCATACACGCATACATATCAACTTAAATAAAATGTCTATGGAGATTCTCAGTCATCCAGGTCATAGTTGTCCCAAAGATGCTTTTTCAAAAGGCAACTGGACTTTCTTGTTTTTCTTTGAAGACGTTTCACTTCTCATCCAAGAAGCTTCTTCAGCTCTGACTGGATGGTGGGGAATGAAAGGATTTATACTCCTTGCAGATAGCTGGACGTTTGCATTCTTTTAGAGAGGCCATCTATGTCAACACTGAACAGCCCTCTCTCAACAGAGGGAGAGGGAGAAGGACATCATCTATCTCCAGTCTACAACACAGTCCTTTCAGCAGTTCCAAGAAGGCTCCACATCCATTTGCACAACTCAGGTGATCCTGATTGCACCAATAAACCTCCAGGTGGCCTAAACAACTGGCTAAAAAATTGCAAATGACCAGCTGTCTGCAAGGAGTATAAATCCTTCCATTCCCCACCATCCAGTCAGAGCTGAAGAAGCTTCTGGGATGAGAAATGAAACGTCTTCAAGACAAGAAAGTCCAGTTGCCTCTTGAAAAAGCACCTTTGGGACAACCTACTGTAAATAAAAGGATTGGAGCATCCTTTATAGACTAAACTAAACCTGTAAATAATGTGAACGTCTGAAAAAGCTTTCAAGTGATACTTAGCTTTCTAATTACACAGAATATAAAGTAACCCCTGAATTTTAATCTCTGAAAGCTATTTGCAACTTTGAGTACCAATGAATTTCAGCCCTTCTAATTTATTTCCAAATGACTAAATCTAAATCCAACATCTAGAAACAGAATTAACAGGGTTAGAAGCAAGTACAGAATACATACCAAAGAAGATAGGAGGTGAAGATTAGGAAAACTATAATGAGAAACCCGCCAGCTGATACGCCATATACCCAGATTTTAAGTTTTCCATCTGAGAAAGGGGAACAAAATAATACATTTGGTGCGAAGTGTGCATTTTGCTTATTTTCTGTCAGTTAAAAATAGGAACCCTTATAACCATTACTTCCTGAATTTGCTGGCAAAATCTCTCCAAACCTGAAGGGCTGGCTAAACTCATCTACAAACCATACCAATCTTTACAGAAATAACTGAAGAATCATGCTAAATCACAGGGCTAACAGGGAAGTGGCATCTTATGAGAAAAAGAGTAAGGAGGCCAAATAATGGAATAATGGAAAATATACCGAACAGCAGGTATCCTGCAACTGTAGGATTCCAACTTGTGATTGGATTATATACTGCGCTGTAACATTGCAGTGTTTGGCGGCTATGTTTGAACACAGATCACAGGTATGGAGAAAGTCTCATGCTTTACATTGACCTTTATGTTTTTCTCTCTCCTCCTTGTAGGAGAATCTCTCCTATTTATATTTCTGATTAATCAGTGAAGAGAATGTCATTAGCTTCAGCATTGTAAACTGAAATCCCAGGTCATTCTACAGAATAATGCTCTTGCACAATTTTATGCTAATGATATTCATATGATTATATTACAAATGAGAGTTTGTATATCCTCTAGTGTAGTTCTGGTTATGTGATTCACTGAGCATGAAGCTTACTTTTCAAATTAAGAGAGGGAGAGAAAAAAAAAGAGAGAGAGAGATAGAACATCATGCCAACAATTTGTTATTTTTACCTGGGTTAAAAGGCTGAATTGACCATCCTTTGAAAATGTCATGCATTTTGGAATTGATAGGTTTATGCTTGGCAGCATTTGTTTTAACATCAGCTTTCTTATCTGCTAAACCGGGTATCTTCATGCAGTAATCCAGGAAACCATTTGATCTCATGATTTCAGTGTAGCCTCTCTCACAGCCACAGATGGCACCCTAGGTAACAAGGAGAAAAGTAGTTCAGAAAGTTTTCATTCCCAGAAAATGTTTCCACTGGGGGACTGCTGGGTGCACCCCAGTTAACCTAGTGCCAGATGCTTTTATTATCTTAACTGAAAGCCCAACCTAGACCAAGGACTTACTGTAAATTGCCAATATCTTTCAAAGCTTTTTAAGCCATACTAAATATAACAGAACAATGGAGTGCCTGTTCCTTCTTTTAATGAGCCTGGATAAATGGGTTGCAACAGAAACTCCGAACACAAAAATCCATCTTACCGAAAGAACCCAGCTCAAAACCCTGCAGCGATGAAAGTAAAACGTTTTCCCTCTCAAATGAGATGTTGTTCATTTAAGGCTGCAACTCTGTCTGGACGGACTGGTGGCCAGCTTGACCTGACATCTATTTAGAGTAGATGCATAGGGCTTGCATTGTGTTATGCATCAAAATGTAAGTATTTTAAATCTGATGGTAAGGCTGCATGAATGTCAAAGCAAAAGCAGTTTCTGTATTTCACCATACTAATGTACTGATTGACAGAAAATAATACAGATGGGATAGAAATAGAGGGATAGGGATAGGAAGAGAGAGAGAGAGAGAGAGAGAGAGAGAGAGAGAGAGAGAGAGAGAATAATTATTTTATATAGCTGCCCATCTCAAATTCATAATTCTGGGCAACTAACAATATAAAAAGAACAAGATGTTATTTCAGGCAAGAGCTGGAGGCACATCAACACACCTTACCTTTGCTCCTAGCGTCTTGATGTGAGATATTAGGGAGAACACCACTTGCAGAATGTAAAACCTTCAGCTGTCCTCAGCTGCAGAAGGATACTGAGATATAGGCAGAGGAGTGTGGTTGTACGTTTGGGAAATGGTTAATGGGTGTGGTCTTGTGTGGAGGTTGTATGGATTTGTCCTTAGCATGAAATCAAACCAGGTAACAGCCCCCCAAAGGCTATTCATTTTAACTGTGTTTTAAAATACAGTTTGAGAGCCAATTTGATATAGTGTAGTGATTGAGACATCAGGCTAGAAGCCAGGAGATGGCGAGTTCTAGTTCTGCTTTAGGCACGAAAGCCAACTGGGTGACCTTGGGCCAATCACTCTCTCTCTCTCAGCCCAATCCATCTCACAGGGTTCTTATTGTGGGGGAAAAGAGGAGGATTATTAAGTATTTTAACTGCCTTGTAAAAATAATAAAGGTGGGATTAAAATCTAAAAACATACCCATGCAAATTCTCAGAAGGGTTAGTTTGTAAAAATATTTCTCTTTCTCTACTATGCATTTTAGATACCTGGGATTCCCTCCCCACTGCCCCCTTCACATTTTATCCGGGAGTTTTTGAATCTATTTTATGCCAAGATGTCTTGTCATACTGACATCTGGAAAAAAATAATAATCCATGGAAGGAGTTCCTATATGGATGGATGATATGAGAAAGCACATATGTCCTCTCATACAGAACTGGAAAGGTTCTAGATGAACAGACGTGACATAGCTTCACCTCTGTGAAGGCTGACAGCAGCAGCCATTGTCCCACTGTTAACTTTCCAAGGAGCTTATATAATGATATGGGAAACATATAAATTGTAGCAGCTGTGAAAGCTGCTGTCAAATGCTGTTTCATTGTGCTTCTATCTCCCAAAATATAGGAACAGGTATGGACTTCAAACTCTCTTTCAAAAATCAGGATATAAGTTCCCTGTGGACTGAAAGTCTGAAGGTACATTGTCCCTGAATTATTGGCTTGCTGGCTTGCTTATTTGCTTGCTTGCTTGCTTACTTACTTACCTACTTTTTCTTTCTTTCTTTCTTTCTTTCTTTCTTTCTTTCTTTCTTTCTTT